CAGATTGTATCTAACAAATATTTTGCCGATGAATGGGTGAATTCTATAGCTATCTGTGGAGTTAAAAGAAGAAACTTTGAAAAGATAGGTGTTTCATCAAACAACTAGTTATGAATTTTTGTTGTGTCAACACTGTTGTACTGTTGTAGTGCAAAGGTGTAGGAATGTGGGCTATTGATACTCAGGCATTGATGGTGGGTGTTATAGACTCGGTCATCCTGAAAAATAATCAGATTTACCGTGGCGGTATTTGGCAGAAAGGTTTTACAATTACAGTATTTGAGGAGTTTCTAAGATCTTGCCTAGTTTACATCTTTCTGGTCTGCAACAAAGGCATAATGATGCCTTCTCATCACCGTGCTGGTTCCTTCCCACAGCGTGCTGGAGCTAGCTGGTGTCTACTCCTGAGCATGGACTGTGCGTTTCTTTTCCAACTCCGTGTCCAGTGACCTGCATTTTGGTAGCCCAGATTTTATTTTTATTTATTTATATATTTTGTTTTGTTTTTGTTTTGGTTCTTTTGGTAGCCTGAATTTTAACATGTTGGGAGTATTTTCACCACAGAAATTGGCAAATGCCACAAACCAGTCACCCTCCAGAGCTGGCTGTTAAACACTGACCAGCATCTACATTAGTGTTTGCTCCCCACCCCCAATCATTCTCCTAATGGCTTAGTTCCTTGTCTGCTGTTAAAGCAGAGTAGAGGCTGGGAAGTCAGGGAGTTAAACATCTGGATTGGGATAGGGAATCCTCCATGTAGCCCTGTGATCTTGAACAAGTTATATAGCCTCTCTAATACCCAGTTTCCTACTTTGTAAAATGGGGTTGATATAGACCCCCCTCAGGGTTGTGAAGATGAAATGAAATGATGTATGGTAAGTACCTAATGGTGCCTAGTGGGTACATAGCCAATGCTCAGTAAGTGGTATCGATTAGGTTAATTTTTTTTTTTTTTTTTTGCCAGTACTGATATTCATTCAATGGCGATTTGCAAAGTGCTTTTGGTTCCACCTGTATGGTTTTATTTATTTATTTATTTATTTATTTATTTATTTATTTATATCTTAGTCCCAAATATTCTGAGCTTCCCTTCACCTGTATGGTTTTTTTTAAAAAAAAATTTATTTATCTATCTATCTATTTTTGAGACAAGGTCTCACTCTGTCTCCCAGGCTGGAGGGCAGTGGCATGATCTCGGCTCACTGCAACCTCTGCCTACTGGGCTCAAGCGATCCTCCCACCTTAGCCTCCTGAGTAGCTGGGACTACAGGTAGGTGCCACCATGCCTGGCTAATTTTTGTATTTATTTATTTTTTTTATTTTTTAATTTTTGAGACAGAGTCTCATTCTGTTGCCTAGGCTAGAGTGCAATGGTGCAATCCCGGCTCACTGCAACCTCCGCCTCCCAGGTTCAAGTGATTCTCCTGCCTCAGCCTCCCGAGTAGGTGGGATTACAGGCATATACCACTATGCCTGGCTAATTTTTATATTTTAGTAGAGATGGTGTTTCACCTTGTTGGCCAGGCTGGTCTTGAACTCCTATCCTCAAGTGATCCACCCGCCTCAGCCTCCCAAAGTGCTGGGATTATAGGCATGAGCCACTGTGCCTGGCCAATTTTTTCATTTTTTGTAGAGACAGGTTTTCACCATGTTGCCCAGGCTGGTTTCGAACTCCTGAGCTCAAGTGATCCATCCTCCTTGGCCTCCCAAAATGCTGGGATTACAGGTGTGAGCTACCATGCCTGGCCTCCACCTATATGGTTTTAAATGTACAGATAAGCAAGAATAAAACATGACCCTGGAATTCAAGTTTTCAGATCACATGTTTGATGTCATGTGGACTCCATACCAGGGCTTTGACATAGTCTTAATATGCCATCGATAGACAGAGTCCCCAAGTCTGGTCTTCTCTTCTGTCAGAGCATCTGGAGCACCTTCATTCCCACCTTCCTGTCTTTGTAAATGTCCTCCTCATTCTTTCATTGCTTTCCCTTTCTCCACAGCAGGCAAACGACCTTCTCAGTGCTTCTCCTCTGTGTTTGCTCCTATGCCTGGCGTGTGGCTGTCTGAGGTTCAGAATTATTCTCAGACCTGTGTAACAAGAACTCTAGGATGAGTCACCTGGTACCTGCTTTTTTATACCCTCAGGCCAAGGCAGGGAGGCCTGATTTCCCTGGCAGAGTTAATTGTGTGGCAAAAGTGCTGCCCAAGGTTATGAGCTGTCTCTGCTTTTTTCCCCATTACTGGTTCCCATTCCTGTTTCTCTGCCCTTTCAGCATTGTGCTCAGAAGGGTATCCTCCACCTCAACATTCCTTTAGTGTGAAAAATGGTTATGGTAGGAAAAGTGGTGATGCTAAATTCTAAACCCTTCAGGTTCTTTTTTTTTTGAGATGGGTCTTGTTCTGTCACCCAGGCTGGAGTGCAGTGCCATGATCTTGGCTCACTGCAAACTCTACCTCCCGGGTTCAAGCAACTCTCCTGCCTCAGTCTCCTGAGTAGCTTGGATTACAGGGACCCTGTACCATGCCCACCTAATGTTTGTATTTTTAGTAGAGACAGGGTTTCACCATGTTGGCCAGGCTGGTCTCGAACTCCTGAGTCGAAGTGATCTTCCTGCCTCGGCCTCCGAAAGTCCTGGAATTATAGACGTGATCCACTGTACCAGGCCTAAATCCTAAACTCTTCAGGTTCTTGCAAGTACCAGTGACACTGAAATTGAATTAATTTGGAATAAAGGCATTTGCTGTAAGGGAGGCTTTTTTTTTTTTTTTTTTTGAGAAGGAGTCTCACTGTGTCACCCAGGGCAGGAGTGCAGTGGTGCAATCTTGGCTCACTGAAACCTCCGCCCTCTGAGTTCAAGCGATTCTCCTGCCTCAGCCTCCCGAGTAGCTGGGATTACAGGCATCAGCCACTGTGCCCGGCTAATTTTTTGTATGTTTAGTAGAGACAGGGTTTCACCATGTTGGCCAGGCTGGTCTTGAACTCCTGACCTTGTGATCCAACCGCCTCAGCCTCCCATAGTGCTGGGATTACAGGTGTGAGCCACTCTGCCCAGCCATAAGGGAGGCTATTAACTTCTTTTTCTTTTTTTTGAGACAGACTCTTGCTCTGTTGCCCAGGCTGGAGTGCAGTGGTGCGGTCTTGGCTCACTGCAACCTCTGCCTCCTGGGTTCAAGTGATTCTCCTGCCTCAGCCTCCTAAGTAGCTGGGATTACAGGCACCTGCCACCATGCTCAACTAATTTTTGTATTTTTTAGTAGAGACGGGGTTTCACCATGTTGGTCAGGCTGGTCTCGAACTCCTGACCACAGGTGACCCACCTGCCTCGACCTCCCAAAGTGCTGGGATTACACGCGTGAGCCACTATGCCCAGCCCTATTAACTTCTTTATACTCCAGTTTAAATGTGAAGTGTTAGCAAAACTTAAAAAGTTCCTGCTTTCTACACACACAGGCTCCTTGTGGAATTCTTCAAACACAAGTGCATCACTTTCAATGTGATCAGTTTTTCAATACTTAGATTTCAGAGCTGTTTACAAATGTAGAAACACTCGAAATAAGTACAAGCTGTTTCATGCTGGGAGCTCTTTTGCCATCAGTTTTAAAGTGAGCAGCCTGAAAATGAAAAAAATTAAAGCTTGGCACTAATAGAAAATAGAACATGTTGGCCGGACATGGTGGCTGGTACCTGCAATCCCAGCACTTCGGGAGGTTGAGGCGAGAGGATTGCTTGAGCTCAGGATTTCAAAACCAGCCTGGGGAACATAGCGAAACCCTGTCTGTAAAAAATAAAAAAAAGAACATGTCAAACAGTATTTTCCAACTCATTTAATTAATTGAAAGACTGTACCTGAAAAATGTTTTACAGAAACCCTTTTATGTTAAAATAATTTACCACAATTAATATACCCTAGATACCCTATTATTTCCATAAAGTATTCCTAGGGATCAATAATATTGTTCAGTTTTTTGTTATTGTTGTTGTGGGGTTTTTTTTGTTTTTGTTTTTGTTAGGGTTTCACCATTTTGGCCAGGCTGGTCTCAAGCCCCTGACCACAAGTGATCCACCTGCCTCAGTCTCTCAGAGTGCTGGGATTACAGGTTTGTATTTTTCAGTAGAGACTGGCTTCTCCGTGTTGGTCAGGCTGTCTCAAACTTCTGACCTCAGGTGATCTGCCCGCCCTGGACTCCCAAAGTCCTGGGATTACAGGCATGAGCCACTGTGCCCGGCCTCAGCTTTTTATCATAATATTTTCAGCAGATAACAAAATCTCAGTTATTAGAAAATAAAGTGATGTGTTTAAGTGTATTTAACATGCCAATATTAGAATTTTCAAACATGATTTTATTTTTATTTTATTTTTTTGAGACCAAGTCTCGCTCTGTTGCCCAGGCTGGAATGCAGTGGCGCGATCTCGGCTCGCTGTAACCTCTGCCTCCCTGGTTCAAGAGATTTTCCTTCCTCAGCCTCCCGAGTAGTTGGGACAACAGGCACCTGCCACCACACTGGGCTAAGTTTTGTACTTTTAGCAGAGACGGAGGTTTTACCATGTTGGCCAGGCTGGTCTTGAACTCCTGACCTCAGGTGATCCTCCCACCTCCACCTCCCAAAGTGCTGGGATTACAGGTGTGAGCTACTGCGCCTGACCTCAAACATTATTTTAGATCTTTTTTTTTTTTTTCAAAGTAGTCACAATTCTTCACTGAGAATGAACACATGCCAAGGTTAGTGGGTTTGATCGTTTGAAAAATGGCAACACCATTCATCTTAAACATTTCCTGACTTTTTACTATGGAACCTCTCATGGTATAAAAATGCCTTTTAGATTTTTCAGAGCCAAAATTAAAATACTTTAGAAAAAAATCAGGCCAAATCTTTGGAATTCAAAGTGACAGAACACCTAAAAGAAACACAATATAAAACTTGCCAATTACACGTCTTCCCAGAGGTCTGGACTGAATTTCTTTCGAATAATGTGGACATTTCTTCCCTTTGCCAGTGACACAGGAACAACACCTCCAGAGAGTGGTATCTTTGGATTTATGATAAACTTCTCTGCATTTCTTGGTAAGTACACAATAATTAGTACAAATAATTGAAAAACGCACAATTCCAAGTGAAGTCAGATGTGTCATTTTTAGTTTGTGTATAATTTTTATTTTATTTAGCTTTTCTGAGACAAGGCTGGAGTGCAGTGGTGCGATCACGGCTGGCTGCAGCCTCAACCTCCCAGGCTCAAGCAATCCTCCCACCTCAGCCTCCGGAGTAGCTGGTACGACAGGAACACACTACCACGCCCAGCTAATTTTTTGTATTTTTTTTTGTAGAGATGGGGTTTCACCATGTTGCCAGGCTGGCCTCAAACTCCTGGGCTTCAGTGATCCACCTGCCTTGGCCTCTCAAAGTGCTGAACTTACAGGTGTGAGCCACTGCACACGGCCTTGTGTATAATTTTTTTAAAAGCACAAACTTTGCAGCTAGATTTTTGTCCTACGTTGAGAAACTGAAGTGAAAAGATATAAAAAATTATGGCTTTATTAGAGAACGATACTTTAATAAGTAATTTGTAACAGGATTTGCTGTAGGTGGTTTTAAATACCAAACTTCTGGAATGGATTTTAAGTGCAATTTGGTTTTTAAAAGTGTCGATTTATAGTCAAGACATTTATGTAAGCCAAAGACACCCAATGTGTAAGCTAAGTTTCTCAAAGTGTATTCTGAAGGCAAGCTGATGAAAAATCACCTGGAGCTCTGGTAAAGTGCAGGTTCCTGGGCCACGCTACTCAACCAGAACCTTTGGGAGTGTGGGTTCCTGAAGATGTGTTGTAAACAAGCACTCTAGGGGACTTGGATTCTCACTAAAGTTTGTGGACCATTGACAAAGGCATTATCTTACCTGTTAAAGAAAGGGAACAGGTGGAGTAAGAATTAGTATGATTTTTCTTTTCAATTCCTCAGATGTACCTGAGATGCAGTTGATAGGGTACAACCTTGTCATGAACCAATTAATGTAATGCACATTAATTACAACTATTGTACAATAAAGCTCAGTCTTCTATAAGGTGATCCAAGTATACAGATATTAGATGTGGGGCTTTTCCTCTTAGTCCTTCTATAATCTCCCCCCATGGAAAAATCAAGTGTTTGCCAAGGGCCTATCTTTTAACCAGTGCTTTCTGTTCTTCTTTACTGGTACAGTGTGGGAAGGGACAGTGATGCTGACCCTACTTAGTGACTTGGCATTTTTGGAATCTGTTCATCCTACTTGGTAGCGGGAAAGTTTCACCGCATCACCATTTGTAGTCCTCCTAAAGTTTTGGAGGTGAGCAAGGGGAAGTAGCAATATGGAGTCAATCAATCCCAGTGCCCTCTTACACCATCCTTGCCAAGAAACCAGACTTGGAAAACAGAGAGATTATTTTATCACAGCAAGTGATAAATACAGCTTTTGCTTCTGAATAAAGCAGAAGCTGACATAAGTATATTCATTTAAAATAGTCTATGTGAGCTCATGCCTGTAATTTTAGCATTTTGGGAGGCTGAAGCAGGACGATCTGTTGAGCCCAATAGTTCAAGACCAGCCTGGGCAATGTAGTGAGATCTTGTCTCTACAAAAAGTTAAAACAAAAAAAAAAAAAAAAGAAAGAAAGAAAGAAAGAAAAAAAAAGAAATTAGCTGGGTGTGGTGATGTGTGCCTGTAGTCCCAGTTACTTGGGAGGATAAAGTGGGAGAATTGCCTGAGCCCAGGAGGTCAAGGCTGCAGTGAGCCATGACTGTGCCACTGCACTCCCACCCAGCACCCAGGTAACAGAGCAAGTCCCTGTCTCCAAACAAACAAACAAAAAATTATAACAAGTTATTAGTTTTTAGCCTGCTTTTTAAAAATTCAGGAGTAGATACATTATGGCCATCATACTATGTAAATATATACACAATTACTTTATCCTTTCCACACATGCATGATATCCTTCGCAAGGATGTATTATCATTTATTTAATCAGTTCCCTATTGTCCAACATTTAGGCTATTTCTGGTATTTTGTAATTCTAATGTTGAAGTGAACATCTTTTAAATGTATCTTTGCATATTTGTGTGAATTTTTCTATAAGATACATTTGCTGAGTTAAAGGGAATACAAATCTAAAATTACGATAGCTTATTCAGCATTTACTAAGTACATACTATATGATAGGGTTTGTGCTTGTTTATGGCTTAGTGTTGAGGTTACAACAGCAAACAAAATGGACAAGGCCCTTGCTCTCATGGAGGCTACATTTTATTGCCAAATTACAACAAATGGTATTTGGTTAGTTTACTAGCTATTTGGAAAAACATACCTTTACCATCCTCCTCACATCATACACAAAAACCAATTGCAATTTAATAAACAAGCAAAACTATGCAATAATTAAATTACAGGAGAATATTTTTTAAACCTTGGAATAGAAACTTACACAAAACCTAGAAGAATTGACAGATAGGAGTAGATTAAAAATTAAAACTTCTAAATGATGAAAGATACAAGAAACAATGTTAAAAGACAAAGCAGAGCAGAAGAAAAATTGCAATATTTATAGCAGATAATAGACTAATGGACATAATGTGTAAAAAGTAACTACAAATTAGAAATCGACAAGCACAAGAGCAGAATAAAAAGAAAATTGTAAACATGCATTTCTCAGAAGAAGAAATGCAAATGACCAGTAGATATACTGAAAGTTGCTAAATCTCACTAATGATCAGAGAAATGCAAACTAACCCAATTAAGTTGCATTTTCATTTATTAGATTGATAGTAATTAAAAAGGCAAAGGCATAAAAATTTGCTCGCAAATTCTGCTGGTGGGAGTCTGAATCGTTAACGGGCTGGAGCAATTTGGCGGTGTTTCTATTGTGTGTAGTTTTTTAACCCAGTAATATTACTTCTAGGAACTGCTCTTTCAGAAACACCTGAAAGTGTGTCCAAAGATTTATATACAAGAATAGTCATTGCGTGTTGTTTGTAGCAGGAAAAACATGGAAACAATGTAAAAATTCATTCTTAGGAGAATGAGGAATAAATATAGTATCTCATACCATAGACCATGATGAGACCCCTGAAAACAATGAAGTAGATCTGTTTGTACTTGCATGAAAAGATCTCCACGGTACATTGTTAAGTGGAAAAAGCAAGTCACAGAGTAACACATGTACTATAATAGCATTTACATGAAAAGGACAACAGCCAAGATGTGTGTGTGTGTGTGTGTGTGTGTGTGTGTGTGTGTGTCCATGATGCGGAGAGAGTAAGATGGAGTCAGGAGGGACAGGGGTGGGAAAGTGGGGAGACTTGCAATCGGTACATTTTTAAAAAGTGAAACAAAGCCTCTTTTGTTTTTCAGCCTAAAGAAATCAAATTATGAACATTCATCAAAGTTCTCTTCTTTTTCAGGTGCAGCCACGATGTATACAAGATATAAAATAGTAGAGAAGCAAAATCAAACCTGCTATTTCAGCACTCCTGTTTTTAACTTGGTGTCTTTAGTCCTTGGATTGGTGGGATGTTTCGGAATGGGCATTGTCGCCAATTTTCAGGTATAACCTGGAGCTTTTTCAGTTAGGAGGAGTGGTGGAGCGCATGTGTCTGAGGAGAGTAGCAGAAATGCAAGAGGCACACTTATGCCATTATAGCTATTAAATGCTTGATGAGTTTACAATAAGTGGGTTAGTTTGCTTTTTAAAAACAAACCTTTAACATTTGGAAGTCAGGGCCAAGCGTGGTGACTCACACCTGTAATCCCAGCACTTTGGGAAGCTGAGTTTGATAATGAGGTCAGGGGTTCAAGACGAGCCTGACCAACATGGTGAAACCCCATTTCTACTAAAAATACAAAATTAGCCAGGTGTGGTGGTGCATGCCTGTAATCCCAGCTACTCAAGTGGCTGAGGCAGGAGAATCATTTGAACCTGGGAGGTGGAGGTTGCAGTGAGCCGAGATTGTGCCACTGCACTCGACAGAGCAAGACTCCATATCCAAAAAAAAAAAAAAAAAAAAAGCATTTGAAAGTGAGTTCTGGTACTTGGGAGAAATGGGGTGCACATTTGCATATTTATGAGAGAGTGCGTGATTCAGAGGAGGCCTTGGGCTTTGCATTGCTCCATGTTCTCATTGATGTGGTTTGATGTGTTGGGAGAGCTACTTCAGCTACTGTGATGATTTTATTAACAGTGTGAAAATATTTGTATGTGTTTACCAATTCTACCGTTTAAACCTCTGGTATTCAAAGAGGAGGCTCTCGGTGACATTTCCTTATATTTTTATGACAGTATGCATTTTGTTTTTCATAACAAGAAACATTTATTGAAATTTTCCTGTGACACATGTTTATGAAAATATTCCATATTTTAACTCAGACAATTATAATAAAAGCCTTGTAAGATAGGCACTATTATTTTCCCCATTTACCAATGGTAAAATGGAGGCCTAGAAGGGTTAATACTTTCCCAAGATTAGATGAATAATGCGTGGCAGAGGTGGGCTTTGAATTGAAGTCACCTTCCTAGAGCCCGTGAGAGCTGTCCTTAATGCCAACAGGAAGAAATACCTGTGACAAAAAAAAGCAAGTACACGATACATAGTTCTACCATCAGGAAGCACACACACACACAAACTATAAAAAGGAAGACCTAGCATTATATCATTTGTCTAGTACAGTGTGGTTATGGTTTAATGGGGGCTAGTATAGATCTATCACTTTATCCTCTGAGTAACCACATCATAAGAGATACAGATGTCAGTTTTTAAACCGTGTAAGGGCTGACTTTAAGAAGAAAACTTAAGTGGTTAAATAATTTCAACTTTTGGTTCTCCTTAAGTCTTCAATGATGTGATTAAATCTTCACAAAAACCAGAAATAGAATCTTAACTTCTCAAGGAGCGAAGTGTTTGACTTGTCATTGTTCCGATAACTGTATCTTTACAACTTCCTTGTTTGGTATCCCGTAATTCATTTTCGTCATGCCAGGAGCAAACCAACTTGAGCCAGCTCAGGAAGATTTTGAGATGTGAGGGCAAGAGAGAGTGTGACTTTTTTTTTTTTTTTTTGTAGAGACAGAGTCTCGCTCTGTTGCCCAGGCTAGAGTGTAGTGGTACGATCTTGGTCCATTGCAACGTCCGCCCTGGGTTCAAGTGATTCTCATGCCTCAGCCTACCGAGTAGCTGGGATTACAGGCACCCACCACCATGTCCAGCTAATTTTTGTATTTTTAGTAGAGATGGGGTTTCACCATGTTGGCCAGGCTGGTCTTGAACTCCTGGCCTCAAGTGATCTGCCTGCCTTGGCCTCCCAAAGTGTTGGGGTTACAGGCGTGAGCCACCGCACCCAGCCATGATGATTTTTCTTGAGTTGCAGTAAATCACATTTTTGAGAATTTCACAGATAATCTTTTTCCCAAATGGGTGGGTGAGATGGCTACTTTTTGGTGTGTCCTCACTAACTTCTGTCAATACTTTATTTTCCCTCAGAAAGTTTTCTTTTTGAAATTCTGTCATTTGTGGCAACGTGGATGAACCTGGAGAACCTTATGCTAAGTGAAATAAGCCAGTCACAGAGAGACAAATACCGAATGCTGTCACTTATATGTGGAATCTAAGAAAATCAGACTTACAGAAGGAGAGAGTAGAATGGTGTTACAGGAGTGAAGAGGAAGACGAGGAGTGGGGAGGTATTGGTCAAAGGGTACCAAGTTTCAGTTAGACTGAATTAATAATTCTGGAGATCTATTACTGCACAGCATGGTGACTATAGTTAATAATAATGTATATTTCAAAATTGCTAAAACAGTAGATTTTTAAATGTTCTCATCACACAAAAAAGAATAAGTATGTGAGGTGATTGATATATTAATTACCTTGATTTAATCATTCCACAGTGTAAGCATACATCAAAACATCTACAGCCAGTTGTGGTGGCTCATGCCTGTAATCCCAGCACTTAGGGAAGCCGAGGCAGGAGGATTGCTTTAGCCCAGGAGTTTGAGACTAGTCTGGGCAACATAGGGCAACAAAGGGATACCATGCCTCTGGAATCACACACACACCCCCCCCTACAAGCCTCATAAATATGAACAATTATTATTTTTTGAGATGGAGTCTCGCTCTGTCACCCAGGCTGGAGTGCAGCGGCGCGATCTTGGCTCACTGCAGCCTCCGCCTCCCAAGTTCAAGCAAATATCCCTGCTTCAGCCTCCCAAGTAGCTGGTATTACAGGCACCTGGCACCACACTCAGCTAATTTTTGTATTTTTTAGTAGAGATGGTGTTTCGCCATGTTGGCTGGACATGTCTTGCGCTCCTGACCTCAGGTGATCCGCCCACCTCGGCCTCCCAAAGTGCTGAGAGGTGTGAGCCATTGCGCCCGGCCTATAAACAATTATTATTTGTCAATTAAAAATAAAATTTTTTAAAGTTTCCTTTTTAGAAAAGAAACTTTCCAAGGTTTAACCCTGTCAGTATTCACATATTCTTTTTTTTTTTTGTTATTACCTTTTAAATTACCAAGAGAGTTTCTGAAAAGCAATCCAAAAAGAGTGCCGGGTTTTAACTTTATGGAAAATTCATGTCTGATCTAAAAATCATTTATCTGATTTTTTGATTGATTGATTGATTGACTGAGAAAGGGTCTTGCTCTGTCACCTAAGCTGGAGTGCAATAGCACAATCATAACCTTGAACGCTTAGAATAAACCTTGAACTCCTCCTGTCTCAGTCTCTTGAGTAACTGAGACTATGGGTGCGTCACCATGCCCAGCTAATTTTTATTTTTACTTTGGTAGAGATGGGGTCTTGCTATGTTTCTGAGGCTGTTCTTAAACTCCTGGCCTCATGTGATCTTCCCATCTCTGCCTCCCAAATTGTTGGGATTACAAGCACAAGCCACCTTACTCTGTTGTATTTTATTTTTCATATATAACTTCCCTGAATCTATATGCCCATGCTAGGAATCTTATTTATTTGTATTTGTATTTTTATATTTATTTTTTTTAGACAGGGTCTTGATCTGTTGCTCAGGCTGGAGTGCAGTGGTGTGATCACGGCTCTCTGCAATCTCCGCCTTGTGAGCTCAAGCAATCCTCCCACCTCAGCCTTCTGAGTAGCTAAAACTACAGGTTCATGCCATCACGCCCAGCTAATTTTCATAGTTTTTGTAGATTGTGACTGCCTCTTTTTTTCTTTTTTTTCCACTTTTTTTCTTGTGTTTCACCACATTGCCCAGGTTGATCTTGAACTCCTGAGCTCAGTGATACACCTGCCTTGGCCTCCCGAAGTGATGAGATTACAGACATAAGTCACTGTGCCCAGTCTTTTATTTATTTTTATATTATTTTTTGAGACAAGGTCTCACTTTGTTGCCCAGGCTAGAGTGCAGTGATGCTATCATAGCCCATTTCACCCTTGGTCTCCCAAGCTCAAGTGATTCTCCCACCTCAGCCTCCCAAGTAACTGGGACTACAGGCACGCACCATCATGCCCGTCTGATTTTATTTATTTATTTATTTAGAGACGGAGTCTCACACTGTCGCCCAGACTGGAGTTCAGTGATGCAATCTTGGCTCGCTGCAGTCTCCATCTCCTGGGGTCCAGTAATTCTCCTGCTCAGTCTCCCTGGTAGCTGGGATTACAGGCATGCGCCAGCACGCCTGGCTAATTTTTGTATTTTTAGTAGAGACAGAGTTTCACCATGTTGACCAGGCTGGTCTCAAAGTCCTGAACTTGTAATCCACCTGCCTCAGCCTCCCAAAGTGCTGGGATTACAGGTGTGAGCCATCATGCCTAGCCATGATTTTTTTATTTTAGTGGAGATGAATACTTGCTATGTTGCCCAGGCTGGTCTCACGCTCCTGAGCTCAAGCAATCCTCCTTCCTTGGCTTCCCAAAGTGTTGGGATTATAGGCGTGAGCCATAGTACCTGGCCTATGCAAGGTATCTTAGGTATACAGAAACTATATGATGTGTAGAAGAGTCAAACACAAATCACGTAATGAATTTCTCCCCTTATTTCTGGGTTTGATACTAGGAAATATATTTCCTTAGAAATAAGTTAAAATGTCTGTTTTTTTTCCCGCACCTCCCTTTCTTATGTGGAGAATGCAAATTTAATATCAGTTCATTTGTGCTCCAGTTTGAGGTTGAACTGTCTGGATGGCAAACATTGTGGTGCTGGGGAAGCCCAGGTGGCCTAGGTCAGAGGGAAGCTGGGGGAAGAGTATGTTCACTGTGACCTGAGGCCAAGGGGTGGCTTGTGGCCAAAATCAGGCTCTCCTGGACAACACTTTAAGTTGTCCTTTGCAAAGCTTGCATTTCAAGTTTAAGCCGAGACCCGGTGGTTCCCTCTAAATGTTCCTCGCCTGGAAGGTTGGTGCCCAGTGCACATTTGAAAGGAGGCAAGGCCGGATGTGGTGGCTCATGCCTACAATCCCAGCACTTTGGAAGGCTGAGGTGGGTGGATCACCTGAGGTCAGAAGTTTGAGACCAGCCTGGCCAACATGGAGAAACCCCGTCTCTACCGAAAACAGAACAATTAGCTCAGCGTGGTAGTGTACGCCTGTAATCCCAACTACTTGGGAGGCTGGGGCACGAGAATCGCTTGAACCCGGGAGGTGGAGGCTGCAATGAGCTGAGATCTTGCCACTGCACTCTAGCCTGGGTGACAGAGAAAGACTCTGTCTCAAAGAAAAAAAAAAGAGAAAGGAGCTGAAGGTGAGGCGCATTCTGAGTGTGTACAGGGTCTGTACCGACTTTCTGCCTAGACTGGCATAGGGGCTGCCTTCTGGTTGAAATGGCTGGTTATAGGATGGTGGGGACACGGAACTTGTTTAGAAGCTGCCTTTGAAAAAATAATTAGCTGGAACTGGGCGTGGTGGCACGTGCCTGTAGTCCCAGCTACTTGTGAGGCTGAGGTGGGAGTATCCCTTGAGCTCAGGAATTCACGGATGCAGTGAGCTATGATCAGGCCACTGCACTCCCGCCTAGGCAACAGAGTGAGACCCTGTCTCAACAGAAAAAGAAAAAAAAGAAGAAAAAGAAGCTGCCTCTGCGTAACAAAAGCAGTGGTTTTACTTAGATGGTGTGTTCATTTGAGGTGCCTTGGGAGGGATGAGTAGAGATTATCAGGGAGCAGGGAGCCTAAAAACCCCAAACCACCCTTGGCACCATCATGGAACGAGTCATGTATTTTTCATTTTTTCAATCATATCATACCAAAGTTTACTGATTATATCAAACAAAAATCTCTGTAATGAAAAAGGCAGAGCTGAGTGCGGTGGCTCACGCCTGTAATCCCAGCACTTTGGGAGGCCGAGGTGGGCGGATCATGAGGTCAGGAGTTTGAGACCAGCCTGGCCAATGTGGCAAAACCCCATCTCTACTAAAAATACAAAAATTAGCTGGGCGTGGTGGCATGTGCCTGTAATCCCAGCTACTTGGGAGGCTGAGGCAGGAGAATTGCTTGAACCTGAGCGGCAGAGGTTGCAGTGAGCCGAGTTTGTGTCACTGCACTCCAGCCTGGGCATCTAGAGTGAAACTCTGTCTCAAAAACAAAATAAAACAAAACAAAAAACAACAACAACCAAAGAAAATTGTATCTGATATGTATCCTATAATCTTCACTGCAAACACGCAAGACGGAGATGATTATGCCCGTTTTTAGATACGGAAATCGAGGCTTTGCAGTAACGTCACAGAGCCTCATGGTGGAGTCAGGACTTTTAATGCAGTTGTACCAGACTCCAAAGCCCACCATATTCAACCCTCCCACCTCTAAGGCAGACCTTTCCTTGTCCCATGAGCCCAGGTTCGCTGTGGAACAACCAACTTTTTGGCATTAATTTCAGGACCTGGAAGGCTTTACTTTTGGTAGTCAGACAGCCACATTTTCCAAGGAGTGGTGCATCTATGATGACCAACGGCTCAAAGCAGCCCAGAGTGAGAGTGCTCGCGGCTCAATGTTGACAAACCCACCCAGAGTAACGCACATTTGTGACTTTTTCTCCAGGAGTTAGCTGTGCCAGTGGTTCATGACGGGGGCGCCCTTTTGGCCTTTGTCTGTGGTGTCGTGTACACGCTCCTACAGTCCATCATCTCTTACAAATCGTGTCCCCAGTGGAACAGTCTCTCGACATGCCACATACGGATGGCCATCTCTGCCGTTTCTTGTGCAGCTGTCGTCCCCAGTATCCTTTTTCACATTTGTGCCTTGTTAAAGGAATAAAACATTCAATGACACTTGTTAAAGAAGGGTAATGAAGACTTTGTAGGGACCACTGCAATGAGGTCTGACAGCGGGGTAAAGAGATGGGGCTCGACTCTGAATACATCCTTGGCAAGTGCGAATTTATAGCCAAGGAGTAGGATGAGGTCAGTGGATGGAAAAGTACTAAAAGGAAACCTCCAGGATGAGGGGGATTCTGGCTAAACCAACCTAACAGGATTCTTGTTGAGTAGTGGCCATGTGATCAGACATCACCTGAGAAGGGTGGTGGAGGAGGAACCCAATCAGATATTGAGTGTGATCAGATATCAGGGTGGGGGTTCCTTGCTAAACTGACTTAGCCAGGGGTTCTTTGCTGAAACTGGATCTTACAAGGAAGTGCACAGAGGGACCTAGGAGAAGTTTCAGTCAGGAGCTTGGACGTAAAGTTCGGCAAAGCAAAGGATCTTTGTCACAGTTTCTTAGCAAAGTTTGACACTTCCCTTCCCACAACCAAAAAAAAAAAAAAAAAAAAGCAAAGGATAACAACCAAGTTTCCACATTTTTCAGAAAAACAATGGGATAAAAGTATAGATCAAGCTGGGTGCGGTGGCTCACGGCCTGTAATCTCAGCACTTTAGGAGGCTGGGAGGTGGGTGGATCACCTGAGGTTGAGAGTTCAGACCAGCCTGACAACATGGAGGAAACCATGTTTTACTAAAAATACAAAATTGCCAGGTATGGTGGCACATGCCTGTAATCCAGCTACTTGGGGGCAGAGGGCAGGAGAATCGCTTGAACCTGGGAGGTGGAGTGTTGAGGTGAGCCGGATAATCACGCCATTGCACTCAGCCTGGGGCAACGGAGTGAAAAACTCCGTCTCAAAAAAAAAAAAAAAAAAAAAAAAAAAAAAGTGCAGCTCGTAAGAAAATGTCTCAACATTGTCTAGTTAGATCAAAAGTCTCTTTGAGGGGAAGAATGGTGTGAAAGGAAGGGTGAAAATGTAGGAACACTTCAGTTTCTGTTTAACTTTCCTTCTCTCACCAGGGCAGTTTCCATGAGCCATATGAAATATTTATGTTTTCTTTGTAGGCTGGGCTAAAGGGAACCACAAAATATTGATATTGTACATCAAGTAATAGCCCCACGGATAGTTCCCTCAAGGCTTAAACTTCTTTCCCCCTCCCTTGGGGCACGTAGGTGGCAAAAGACAGTTTGGTTTTACCTCATTCATGTTTGAAGAGATTTTAAAAGGCTCTAGATCACTTATTACTGAGTAAATTAAAACTTTTAGGGCCTTTTCTTTTATAGTCACTAAATTTCATTTTTCAAATGAATCCCATTTTATTTTCTAACTCAGCAATCTGAAAAGAATGAAGATATTAAGATTTAGCATGGCTTTGATAGATTCTGATTTAGAGAATGGAAGCTTTTTTCC